CACTTTGTGCCCCACCCCACACCCCCACGGCCACACTCATCGGCCGCAGGAGAAGGTAACAAATCGATCAGGGGCCACTCTGTTGTTCTGCTTTTATGGGATACGACATTTAGTGGTGATCGATACCTAAGGGGATGGCAAGTGTTTATGGGAAATGTAGGCTGATTGCAGGTTCCAATCATCAGTCCATCATCACCTTCCAAATGCCCTCCACAGACCTCCACACCTACAGAGACGAAGTCAGTGTTGAAACGTTTCCTTAAACGGTCCCAACCGCCAGCACGTCACGACGTGCGACCTCCACGCCCCCTTCTGCAACCACGCATCACGTGTCCCAATGACCCGAGCAGGAGCTCGTCTCGACACGATCGATATCCAGACCCAGGAGAGTGCGCAGGCATCTGACAAGCTCTGACGTCAGCTCTGCCCATATAATGGCCTGGGGGGTCATATTTAGAAGCTGACACAGGCTGCCCAGTGCCCGATCAATGGCATTTACATCCTGAGGTCAGGGAGAGACAAAGCAGAGAAGACGGAAAGACCTGAAGCGCATGCGGTGTCTGCTTCTCCGAGGAGGAGGGACAGCATGACATGGTGGTTAGAAAGGATCACAGCATTAGCCAGTCAACAGGAAGCGCCAGTGCTGCTGATTAACAGCTATAACCCTGAAACCTTGTAGAAGGACGAAGCTAGCAGGCAGCCTGCTGGTCATTAAAATGGTAGACGTGGGACAGCTGTGAGCCACAGAGGGGCCCGGCACTGAGCAGGGCACCGGGAGAGAAGAGCAGAGCACACACAACCTCGTACCGGCTGCACACCGAGAGAGGTGGCCTCATGCAACATGACTCATGTCCCAGAACCTCATGGCTGATCCAGAGCAGGTTAGGCTAATCCAGTTAGCTTTTTTTTTTTTTTGTTTACTTTAACTGGTCTCAGCTCCATACTTTATCACTGTTGCTTTTAAGCAATTTGTACAGCCAGAAAAGCAGTGGAAAAGCCCTTTCCCCAGCCTCAAACAGCCTGGGGGGGGGGGGCGCTTCATGGGCTCCCGGGAAAGACGACGTGCTGCCAAACCGATTGGCGGGCTCGTGCTAACTGGGGATGTTCACCACCAGCTGGCAGAAGCCATTTAAGATGAATGAGCGGCTGCAGAGATATTCCTTCCCCTAAAAGAAAAGCCTGGGGCAAGGAGGTCGAACTTCGTTAGAGACGACACTTTTAAATCTCGAGGGAACGGAGTAGGGAACAGGCTGCATAATCAACGGCTCCCAGCCGCTAGCAGCCTCTTCCCCTCATTATCTGCTGCCAGCGAGATTTATCCCCTCTCCTACGGGCCTAATGGTGACACCAACCACCTTTTAGCGCCACAACTTTAAAACTGACAAAACACCCACAAATCCCTGCCCCGCCCCCCACTCCAGCGCTAACTCCCAACCCCAAAGCTAAAATTAAAAACTGTGGCTGCTGTTTTGTTCAAGGGGACACAGATTAATCCCACCACAGCACACGGCGGACCGACGCTCACTGACCGCCAATCTGCGAACGGGAGCAGGCCGGAGCGGAGCTCCAGCGGTTCCCATGGTGATTAAAAGACGGATCATCCACATTAACCAGAGAGACATTACAGATGTTCTTTTCACATTATCTCCTTCCTGTGGATTCCGCCTAAACAATTAATTTAACGCAGCACACAACAGTAACTATAGGAATGGCAAAAAAAAAAAAAACACCGTATTTTCCAGAAAATGCTTTCTCAGGTTACCGTCCATCACAGAGATGGACAGACCAGCCGCCTGCCGCCGTAATCAGCTCCTCCCCCCCCCGTTCATGTTTATTCATCTCCTCCTGCTGGTGATTAATCCCCGAAAACCCCAGGAGTGTTTGGCCAGGCAGGGGTGCTGAGACGGCCAACCATCAACACCAAGAGCTGCCACGGGCTGGAGCGTTGGCGGGGGGGCAAGCTGGTGGTCACCCAGCCGTGGAGACAACAGAAGGAAAATGGGCGACGCAAAAATGTGTTTTGGTGGCCTAGCAAGAGGCGACTATGCAGATTTATGCGAGCTCATATTTTCACCTTGAGGCAACAGGAGGTACCGACGACGTCCCATTTACAGAACAAGGAGGCGGAAAGATACAGCCCCGCTTCTGGCTGGACACTATCACGCCACTCTCACGACCCCGTGCTGCCATAACAGAGCAGATATCCATTCAGCATCACAGGCTAGAGGCTCTGCCTCGCCGAGGGTGGGGATCAGGCCTCGACTCTACTAACGACGAATCCGGAGAGCGTTGATCATCCCCCCCAACCCCCAAGTCTAACACACTCCACCTTTGGATCTGGCAGTGATGCCTACTGCAGGACACTGATCGTTACAGTGTTTTAGGAGCGGAACCAGACACCCACCTTGGCCAGTTTCAAGGCCCTAAAACCACGCACACGGATCCCTGCGATTCTGCCTTCGTTTGACTTAATCAGCGCTGGTGACGCAGGGAGCTGGAGAAGCACCCGTTTGGGTCCCGATTCAGTCGCCGTGAGCCTCATCTGCAAAAACCATCAGGGGCACGATGGGTGTAAAGTACGGCAACAGTCAGACAAAAAAAAACACGTGGCAACTTCAGTGCTGAAAGCGGAGGAGGGAGTAGCAGAGATTGCGCATTCGAAACTGCACTTCAGATTACCTTCAGAACTCCATATTCACAGCCACTCGACACGGCTGTATGTCTCTCTCAGATAAATTACAGGTAAAACTCCATTTAGGAGGCAGGCTTGCTATCGATCACCATTCATCAGCTCCACTGCCGCCGATGATCCATTCATACCTCACGTTGCCGGCTGCTTGCTCTCAGCCCGGCGCGGCCTGTCTGAGCCCAGTGGCACAAAGCGGCCGTCTAACCAAGAATTACGGAGACGTGACAGAAGCCATCCCCGCTGATTAGTGCAGGGGGCTGTGAAGCCGGCTCATCTGTAAATACCGCTTTCCGCGGCGCCCGGCCTGACTCTCCTGTGCCCCCCTCCCCACCGCTCACCCGCCCACCCGCTCTCAGTGGCGTTAGCATCTCGCTCAACTCCGCCACTTTTCCGCACCAGAGAGCTCATTTCTTTTCAGGGGCAGCGCGGCGGCGGCGGCGGCGGAGGGTAAATGACGGATGTCCGCAGGGAGCACGGCCCGGCCGCTGGCCCCTGCTTGAGAGGCGGAGCCGTGTGACGCAGCGGGTACGATCACACTGCACACTGCACAGCCAGTGCGAAGAGTGGGATGCTGCTTCCGTACAGCCACTGCACCATGTTTACATTTATTCATCTGACGCCTTTATCCAAAGCAACTTAAAATGAAGGGAACAGTTACAATTTAAAGCCCCGGGATTTGGTCCCATGACCTTTGCATTGGTAACACTATACTCAGATCGCGGAGATACAGCCTATATTAAAATGCCTGTATTAAAATGGTCCTCCTCCGACTGCGTTAATTATAAGGCCAAACAATCTTGGGAGAAACTGTCGCTGGAGGGGTGAGGGACCTACATTCCCCGCCCCATGGAGCGGCTTCATGATGCCGAATTGTTAGACCTCTCCTGCAGATAACGAGATGGTACTCTCATGCTGCTGCTGACGCGCTCATCGCCCACAAACCCGCAGCACAAATGCAGCTCCTAAATGCGGGAGCCGGGTCGATGGGCCCTCAACAGCTGAAAGTGAGAAGCGGGCAAGTGTCACCGCTTCTGTTAACAGCGCCATTCTTTACATTATCCAGAATCACAAGGCAGCACCATCACGTCAAGCCACAGCAAGCCACCCAGAGATGCTGCGTTACGCTGGGCTATGCTGCTAAAACTCCAGTGCCTCTCCTCTACAGCACCTTCTGAAGATGCATCTTCTCAGGACCGTGGGCAGAGGATGCTGGGAAACGGCACGGCAGCCACCCTACACACACGATGATCCTGTTGCATGCCCCAACTGCCCAGTTTGATCTTGTCTTTCCCTCCCTTCCCTTCTGTGTTAGGGACACGACCCATGAGGCATATACTCTGTACTCTCTGCTTGAGATTCTGCAGTCTCTCCCAGGACCGTAATCGCTGCTGTCTTCCCGGCTAAAGGCCTTTTGCATCCAGCAGACTCTCTCAATTTAAGCCTAAACTTCATTTACCACCTAGGGACTGATTTCATTGATGGACTCATTAAAATTCTTGATGCCGTCAGCACGTCACGGTGACATTGAGCACTTCCTAGCAACATCTGTATGGGCCGCGTCATGCCGTGGGGGCCGGCATGGGGAAGAAAGCATGCATGCACACAGCACAGACAGACAGACGCTCAGACACTGAGCTGTCCTCTCCTCCACCCTGGGAGAGCACGTTTATACTGCGGTTACGCATGCTACCCCGGATATGCTCTGCACCTCCTGCGCAGACGCTGGGCCGCAGGGTGCAGCTGCCTGCGTCCTGCCTAAACTCGTCCCCCGCAGGAGTTGCATTTCCGAGGCGATGAGGTCCCTCCCAACGTGACCCTCAGGGCCGAGACAGCAGCCTAGAGTGACCCAGCTCACTGTCCGACGGCTGTTTATACACCAGTGAAGAGTAGCTGGCACACTGTGACTGTAACTCCGCCCCCGGGCCAAGAAAACTGCCGGAGTAACAGCGAACACCATGGACACGGGAGGGTTGGGCGCTACCGCGGTCGGTAATTCAGGTATACAATGCTGGCGGCTACATGCGGCCACCAGTGTGATGTAAGCAAGGGTCTACAAGTATGTGCAAATTCAGAATGATAATAGAGAGAGAGAGAGAGAGAGAGAGCGAGAGAGAGAGCGAGCGCACACTCCAAAGCGGGAAGAATTAATGATATGAGCAGAGAGAGAGATACGAGGCCGCTGACAGGAGCACACGTACTGTGACAGGGAAAACACGAACACATGCAGCCTTACATGCTCACACACACTCCCAGTTGTGCACACTGACACGCACACTGACACGCACACCGGGTCCGGCGGCACAGTACTCACCGGTGAGGACGGCCTTGGCAGATGGGTCGGCGAGGTCCAGGGCCGACTTGCCATCGGTGTTGCGGATGTTGGGGTCGGCGCCGTGCTGGAGCAGCACTGTGCAGGGGAAACACAGGCAGTAGCTGAGCTCGGACAGGCACAGGCCGCCACCGCCCGCCAGCACGCTCCTGGCCATGGCCGCCGCACACGTGCATCGCACACCGGTGCACCGGGGAGGGGGCGCCACGGCGACGCGGAGAGCCACACCACAGGACACGCCAGGCTAGTCCACGTGACCTCGATCACAGACGCGAGAGCAGAATAGTAAAGACTCCCATCCCCTGCAGCCCCCAGGAGAGGGGCTGGTCTGGCCCCCACCGAGAGAGCGAGCGACTCAGAGCGACACAGCGCCTACGACACACTGTCCCCGAACTGTCTGCGTGCTTCTCCTCGTGCGCCAAGCTTCCCTCTCTCCCTCTCTCCCTCTCTCCGCACTCCTTCTCACACCCTAATCAGCTGCTCTGCGATTCAGCGGCGCGACCGCGGCAAGAGCCAGAGACAAGGGGGGGTGGGTGGGGGGGGGGCACGTACAGGTACGGTGTGCGCAGGGGCATAGGCGCACCTGCAGACCAGCAACACGCCACGGGTCGCTCCACAGCACTCTGACAACGCCACCTTGTGGTCGCCAGCCATCCTGACAGACTGTGTGTCCCCCCCCACCAGCGTATAAACAGGTGAAATGCACAGCTAACCTAGTGACAGCGAGGCAGAGAGGAGCCTGGATTACCAACAGTACTATGGGGCTGGGGATCTCGACGTGCACAGCGGCAAACTTTAAAGGCCTGCCGGTTTCGTGTTTTAGACTGACAAAGGTGCAGCGATGCATAAAATACTCCCTCCGCAAGGAGATTTAACAGGCAGGAACAAGCCATTCGCTTCCTCTGTATTTGTGTGGACGTACAGCACCACCCCCCCAAGGAGTGACTCTGGGGTTAAAATCAGGCAGCTCCCCTGACAAGCTGCCCATCAATCAGGTGCTGAGCCCCCCCTCCCCCGGGTCGGCAGCCTGGTACCAGGCAGAGTGCAGGCGACAAGCGGGGACTCGCTGCACAGAATACCAAAAAGCCACTGGGGGGG